AAGGTTGGTTTTTCTTCTCTTTCTTAACGTAGATCCTTCACACCCCTCTCAAACCACCTATTTTCTTTGTCCAAAATGTGAACATTCTGGTCCACAAAAGAATGTCCTTTGTCCATAAGGTGTAGATGTACTGTGGTGTAGTCTTGTCCCGAGGAGGTCGCTTATCTGTGTTGGACCATGAATCTGTATTTTAAAGATGTTTTCTGACTGTTTCCGCTACCTCTGATATAGGTATGCACATTAAAAGAGAAGTAACATCAACAGACACCAGGGTTTCTCCTGGCGCCATCTTTAAATGTTTGACTTTGATTGCAAGGGGCCTGAGTTCTGAGGTCTTTAACACGTACTTTAACACTCTGGTAGTTCAAGTCACTGAACATGATGCTTCTGCTCAATCGCAGTGTTTCATCTGTAAATGATCCTAGTGGGACAGTTCCCACCCCCTCCATAGCACCAAACACCTCCTGTGTTTGCCATCTCTCTAAATAGTGCCAGAATACACCAGGATCTCTTATTTCTGTCTGCTCCTTTATATTCGGCTCTCTGCTTGTCCTGCTTGCTCATTGTTACTCCATTGTTTTTCTCGTCACTTTCAATTGATCTTTAGTGACTTGTATTACTGTGGGCCGGGCTTCGGCAACTGAGCTTCTCATGGAGTATGAATACTCTTTAGCAGAATGACACTTTTTCTTGAACTTGCAACCTCATGTAGCACTTTGAGATTTGAAGTCAAATGTAAAGTGCGTTATAAATAAAATTCATTATTATTATTATTATTATTATGATGAATACGAATAAAAAGTCATGGTTCTTGTGGACTGTGCAGCAGCCTTTAGTCCCAAGGCCCCAAAACACGTCTGTTAGATTAATTTATCTCTATAAATGGTCCCTAGGTATGCGTGTGTACAAGCTTCATTGTAATGCTGTGTCTCTGTGTTGCTGTATGATGGATGGATGCACATTATGCTATCTATTGTTCTGATTACTGGACATATTTATACCATGTTGAATGTACAAATAAGCTTAGATGTAAATAAATTTAGGCATGTTTTTCTAATATTAAGTAGTTATTAATAAACAGTAAATGTAGAATAACTAAGAGACTGCACAATCAAAAAAACAACAAAGTAGGTGAAACATTCCATTCCTGTGTATATATATACTAGTCCTTAAGAATGAATGCATATTACTCGTATTATTATTTGTATTGCTGCAAATTATTTAAAAAAAAGCTCATATAGTCTTTACAAGGACTAAGATAAATTAAGTGTCCGTGTCCGTTCAGATATAAAAACAACTGGTTTTCTACTCTTTGGAAATGTAGCAGCTGTCTTGAATGTTTTTCCGCTTGCGATAATTCTCACTCCTCATAGAATTATGGACATCACTCTGCCTGTAAATGACCTATTCATGCACAGCAGCAATAGCTTCAGTAACATCATTAATAATGCCTTTTCTCTGCCTTGAGTGTTCCAGAGCAGCAAAGTGCCAAAACATCTGTTTTCATTGAGGCAGCAACGCTGCCCGATGATAATTAAATTGACACATATGTTAAACCACACATGCTTCCTGCCGAATCCTATACAGTGCTTTCACACCAAACCTTCGGAACACTTTTTACAGTATCTGGACTGGATCCCGATGGCATGAACCCATCCTGGAGCTTGGAACGAAGCAGAGAGCTGTACATGGGCACAGTTACAACTGCTGGTCTCAGCACAGCTTATCTGAGCGCTTGCATTGTGAACATGTGCTGGGTCCCAGCTTACAAAAAGCAGAAAGAGAAGATGTTATGTAAGAAGCATTAGGAGGACACCAGGAGAATATAGGTTATGGAACAAAGTGTACAAACAAGTATTTGATCAAAAGGGATGGATTATTTGACTTTGGTCCCTAACATTCTATGACACAGTGTTTTTTTAAGTTGTTCTTTTTACTTTTAATTCTCGATTTGTGCAATGCTGCCCCCAAAACAATCAATGCAATTACCCAATGATTGGCACAGACTATAAATGTGAAAGCCATCTGAGCCAACTGAAAGTGTGGATTTCTTCATGTTTATGTAAATGTAAATCCCTTTACTGTCCCACAATTGGGAAATTCGTTCTCTGCATTTTGACCCATCCCCTTGGGGAGCAGTGAGCTGCCATTGTGTGGGGCCCGGGGAGCAATCAGGGGTTAACGGTTTTGATCAGGAGAGTGGAGACTGTGGTATTCAAACCGGGTACTTATAACCATGTCAGAGCACAAATGCACTGCTCTAACCACTAGGCCAAGACAATAATCGCTGGACCACACTATATGTTGCCAACTTAGCCCCCGTCCAGACAAAGTTTGATTTGGATATATTCAGCAAACTTCTTGATCGGATAGGGAGTCTCGTCTACAAGAAGCGCCCTCTAAACTTATTATATTTAAACCTTGTTTCCAGAGTGTATAAGTTCAGTACATCCTCATCACCCCATTCACATAACTAACTACACAATAAAGTCTCACTCCCAACTCGTCACATATTGACAATTGGTCAAGTCCCCTGCGCATCTGATACTGATGCGACAGGGATACCCCTCTCGTCAGTAACTGAGGTGTAGGGTTCATGACATTCTTACCCAGTCCCAAATAAAGCTGAATAAAGTATGAATACCGGACTCATCTACAAGGCAGATGAAATCTTATATCAGAATTCAACATGTTAGACTCTTACCTTAGTGTGTGGCTCCACTTATACACAGGAAATAAGAGTCAATGTGCTGTTTTCCTTTTTTTTAATTTGTCAAAATATAGATTATACTGGGTCGGTTTATTGACAGATGAAGTAAATAGACTTAGTTGTAAAGGAGTGAAGCAAAACCTTGCGTGAAACTACACACAATCATCTCTGTTTGGCTTTTATGGACTATGCAATTCCTCATTCCATCTACTGTACTTTCCATAAGGCACTCAGGTGTACCAGTTGTGTTTTGTCTCTACCTTGAACTCCAATGTAAAGCCGGGCATACACTGTGCGATATTTTCAATCATTGTTCTCAGCTACAGCTCAAACTGTAAGACGAAACTGCAGGGTTTAAAAGTTCACAGCTCACAATGTATGTTCTTAGTGTGCTGCCTGATGCTCTGATTCGATCTACCTGCTCACACTGTACGTACATAAACCACATGTCAGACTCGGCGCCGAGAGATGGTGCTGGTTGGACTCCTGGGAAAAAAACGAAGAGGAACTCCCCTGTTTGCACATGCGCAGTGCTCGAGGTTCTGGTAAATCGGCTTGTAGCTCTGCTTCAACAGTTAGATTTACCCACGAACACCTCGCCGACAGAATTTCAAACATGTTTGACGCAGAAGGAGGCTGAAACTCGGCTCAATCTAAAAGATTCTCAGACAGCTGGAGAATCGCCCCGAAAAGGGCAAAAAAATCATACAGTGTATGCCCGACTTAAATCAATTACTTGTTTCAGATGTCATCCTTCTACACTGAGAGGTTGTTTTCTTATTCTCAGAGGAGATTTGGAAGTGAATGATCAATGAAAGGTTTTGCCAAAGTCAGCACCATTGTTCCTTTGCACAAGTAGGCAATCATTAATCAGGACACAGAACATCAAAGTGTAGGAGGAACTCTCATACACTAGACTTAAAGCATGAAGTCTATTTTACAGACGTTTCTTTGGTGAAACTGCCTTGCTTCTCTGTAATTACCCAGAAAACCCTGGGGCAAATACACAACCGTTTCTCCCTCTTCCTACTCAAACAGTGGGGCTCTGCTGCACCAAGTCTCTGCAATATGGGAGGTCTCTAACTCATGTCTTCTGTGTTCCTCACATGTATTTTAACTTGCTCTTCCCCAGTGTGAGCATTGTACACTCTCTTCCTTATATCACACTGTGATATATGCGTGGCTCCTCCAGTCTTGACATCCTCTTTAATCATTCAAGCTTTTGTCTTATTATTATCTCCGCATGGAAAGAGCTGAGGTTTCTAATTTTCTGTCTGTGTTACTGCAGTTTTTCGACCGTCTCTGGGCCAGCACACAGAGATGTAATCAATATTTGCTTGGTAGGTTTTCTTTTCCAAAGGGCAGAAGGTATCACATGAACACTTGTGTAATACTCCCGCTTGTACTGTAAGCCTGGCAGGAGTTCTGTTCACTGGCAAAATTGGTCCTCAGAATGAGGAACTGGTGGTCGTGCAAAGGTTTTTGTCAAAACTTGCTCAGACTTTTAAGAGGGGATGAATTGCTGTTGTTGAAATTGGTTACTCAACAGGAAGGAAAGACCAAAGAGCTTAAGGAAAGTGCTGCAGGGTCATCTATGCACTGTTTATCTATTCCATAGTTCCTCTGAAAGCCTTGAGAGTGCTACTCTGTAGCAGCCTGTTTGTTTCAGAGGGGTGTGTGAAAAGTGGAGGAGGGGTGTTTGGGGCTGTGCTTTGGAGCCCCACAGGGTGGGGGTCTGATGAATAGAAGGACAGGTCTGCTGCTCTGCTCTCTCTGCTATTTGAGCTTCCCATCATGCTTTGGATAACTCTTTATAGTCTTGGGTTTGGTGCCAAATCTGTCTTAGATGTGCCAAAATAAACGTTGTTTATTTTTTTAAACAGTTTGATCTTTCTCTATCTGCACTTTTTTTTTACAGATCCAGCCCTGTATAAAACAACATATAAAATGGCCTGTTTTAAACCTTGTGAGCTTAATTTGACACTGCAAATAACCAGAGCTGCTTCATAGCAACACTTGGCAGGCCTACAGACGATAAAAATATCAACAGGCTTTATTGGCACTATAAACACAAACCCCTTTTTATTCTTTTTATTTTAGCCAGACAGTTGTTTGAACATCTTTGATCTCAACATGTTGAATTACTTTGAGTGTCTGGAAAAGCCCTGCAGTGGAAAGAAAAATAATTAGCTGTATGGGCTGCATCTATTAGCAATAATTTATTGCAATCCGCCTCACTGTCCTTCATGAGCCGTCTGTTTATTTGTTCATCCTCCCTGGCCTCTTGCAGGAAGTGAAGATATTCCGAGCGCTGATCCTGGGCGAGCTAGAGAGAGGGCAGAACCAGTACCAGGCGCTGTGCTTCATCTCTCGCCTCAACCGCAATGAGATCATCCCCAGTGAGTCCATGGCCCGTCTCAGACAGGTATGATAAAATGGATGAAGTCACTTTCTGACTCTGTTCACATGTAGTAAAAATTAACATATCACTTATTTATTAAATATACCTATAGAAGTGGGATATTCTCTTACTACATCTTTTACAAAGGAAATATTTAGTTTTTCTTGAAACTAAATTGAACGTAATTTACATTAAGTTACGTCAGAAAAAGTTCCTACTGGTTTATACCAAAATTGTGTCTGGATAGAAACAAAGACGTTTAAAAATGACTAAAACATTTTTAGACACTTTGTTAACAGTGACCTGATGACCCAATGTATTGTAGTATCTTGTGAGGTAAATGTATTGTTAGACCCCTGGTTGATTTTGAGTTCTTAAGTTCTACTTCTGGGGTAAATACACCCTTCCAAGGCAGTCTGAAAACGTAGGGAATCTGATTTCACCATACGGGGTCCCAAAAGGTAAATGAGAATATGGAAAAAATTTTGTGTCCAGGTTGTATTATGCCTCATTGTCTGACTGCTTTCCTTCCTTTCTATCTTGGTAATCT